ACTAATTAAATTATGTATCAGTTTTAAATGCCTAAGCAGGGGACAAGTAGTGCTCCCACTTTTTAGTAGGTGGACTTTGCAGAAATGTTGGAGAGCTCAGCAGGCAGCAGTATAGGCAGGATGCTGGAGGGCTGGGAGTGAGGGTAAACAGAGGCTAGCAGAAGCAAATAAATGATATCATAATACTCATACTGCAATTAAAAAAAAAAATCCACACATGCACACGCATCCAAAAAAAAACCCAAGATGATGCCAAACTCTTCAGTTTCTTTAGTGAGCTTAACATCAGTCTACTTTCAGCGTGGGATTCCATTCAAATATGGTTACTGGGTTTGGTTTCTGCTTGTTTTCTATCACACTATCATGTTCAAGATCCTTGCTGTGGGAAATTAACCTTTCACTTCATGATAGAATCTATGATTCTATGATACATCTGCCATTTTTTAGTATTTCTGATCTCATGCTCCTTTGAGTTTCATAAAAACAACCCTGGCTACCCTTGAGAAACAGCACCAAAACCTCACCACAGATGGGCTTTCACCCAGCTTGGAATGATAATTACATTCACCATCACAGATAGCGCCACACTGATATTGAAGTCAATGTTTCTATAGATCCCCTCAGCACAATTTACTGCCAACTGAACAAAACAGAAAAACAACTAAATAAAATATCTGCCAGAAGACTACATTTAGTGATCACTAACTCTACAAATCGTGTACTGCGAAACTGTATTACAAAGGAAATCTGTTCTTAATTAAACAAAGTATCTGTACATCAGAAAGTCTGGATCAGCTGAAGGTTGAGTGCAGTAATTGCTGCAGATGTACGAATCTTCCTTTCTGATAAGCTACTGCTAAATATTAAGCCTTAGAAAGATTGTGTGTGCTTTTATGTTTATTTCCCACAACAAAGAATCACACATTTATGAGGGATCGTGACATCAATGTATGGGACAAATAAGTGCCAGCATGGGGCAAATAAGAGCCTGCATGGGGGTTAATACTGTGACACCAAACAAAAAAAGGAAATAGTGGCACCACAAAGCTGCAGACTTGGAACTAGCTGGCCGAAGTCCTGTTTGCAACACTTTAGCAGTCTGCACACAGCATGACAAGCATCCAAGGAATCAAAATCAACTGTGAATACAAGCCTCATTCTTGCTGCAGCTCTGTTTTGGCTTTGATGTTTTTTAAAATCAGCTAGTATTAATGCACAATGGGAATTATCCAGGAGGGTCAAAAAGAATACAGTTTTGGAAAAAAAGTTGTTTACCTAGCACAAAAGGAAAAAAAAAAAAAAAAAAAAAAAGCTTCTGGGACGACTGTATGACTGTAAGGCTTCCTAAAGAAAAAAGGGGGTTTTAAAGTGTTATCTATCAAAAGTAATTGTTTCCTTCAGTCAATAGGTAGTGTATGGATAGTACAGCAAAGCTGGGGACATCCATATCAGCTGAGCACAGTAAGAGGCTGCTCTGGACACACACTTCTTGTACCTGCGGACACACCACTCCATGTTATTTACCAGTTCCACAACTTCAGCCACCAGCCCTGCCCAGAGCAATTGCTGTGCCGCAACACCGAGCTGCCACAGCTTCTGTTCATGATATTTTAAGACTGGAGAAGAAATGAGTCCCACTTGAAAGCAGTGCACAACCAACTTCTGTGGATGTGGGAGACAGAGAGCAAAAATACTGAGTGCAGGAATTCAGCAAGCAGCTACATCCATGATGCTACAAGGATCGGGTCTGCAGAGCTTGTGACATGAGTGGCAGTTAGTGGCATCCCACTGCCAAGAAAGGCCAAGGAAAGGTTTAGTGTGCATGGAATCCACAAATAATTAACTATCAAAATATAAAATAAAAGCAATGAGGGAACAAGGCAGGAAGCAATTTCCATACCTCCCAGCACAGCTCCCTGTTAACAAAAGCAGGAGGAGCACAGTCATCCTCCCAGTGATGCAAGTTCACCCTACAATCTGTTTACCCACGCATTCTGCCATCGAATCCACCATCCTCCCTACTTCACAAAACTGATGGCATTACGGGAGGACCACAAAGCACACAACAATCCTGTGCAGAAAAGCAGCAGGAGAGAGGAACAGCTTCATTTACAGCTTCCTTAGTTTCCATGCCTTACAACCAAAAACCACATGCTCCACTACCGGAGGCACAGGAGAATTTACAAGACGTAAATACATTTTTAAGAGCTCCACGTGCGTGTCTGCCCCTGTCAGTTTGTTTTCTGCCCTCAGTCCACACACACACACTTCCCTGAGGTGCTCTCAGTGAACCAGCCGTGCAGGTGAGTGTCCCTCGGAAGCTGCCCTTGGCTTTTATGGGTATTTGTTTCCCCAGCACGGAGCACAATTTCTTCTTCATTTATTTTATTAGGTGAGGTGTTTAAAGGGATATACAGTCATCTGGAGCTCATCACTGTCAAACTTTCAGCCCCGTAGCTGTAAAGCTTAAAGGAGCTAGTGTAGCTCCCCGCTTTACAAAGTGCTGAGTACCTCCTATGAGGTGCCAAATGTCCGCGGTGACACTTCAGGATTGCTCACAGGGCCCCACCCCGACTCCGAGCAACACTCCTGTCCACAGCGGTGCTGGGGCAGAGCAGCACTCACAACACAAACCCGGACTTCTGAGGCAAGGAAAGTTTCCCTGGGCCTGAGACAGCACGGTGCCGGGTCCAGGGAGCACTGGATGTTAGCATTCCTACCTCCAAACTCCCAACCGAAGTGAAAAAAGCAAGCAAACGTTCAAGACAATCTTAGTGCGTTTTGGATTGGGTGTTTATTTTCAAACATTTTCACCCCACGCACACAGAGACAACGTAATTCTCTCCAAACCCTTTAAACACATCCTGCTTCCACCGAGCTCAATGCATTTCTTTCACTTTCTTTCCAAGGGAAAAGATCCCACAGACTCTTTACAAATCACTTTTCCCCAGAAGCCTTTTTTAAAATCAGTTCTTCTACTGGAAGCGAGCAATAAAACAAAGCTAGCAAGACAAAAAAAAGTGCAGAAAGAACTGCTGACAGCCATACTTCAAAATGTCCACAGCAAAAAGGCTGCTCCAACAGGGTTGGGACAGCAAAGGCTTTCATTACCTGGATGCTTCTTCAAAGCCAGTCTCACTTGGCAGCAGTCACCTGGTGGCAGGTAAGGTTAGAGCACACTTTTTAAGTAACTGCAGAGAAGTGTTTTGTATTCAATGTGTAAATGCCATGGAGAATGCCTCCATGCACCCATGGAGAGCACCACCCTGCAGTACTGAATAAGCAGACAGTAAACAAGCAAACACAGAGAGAACTAAGAAGTTGCATCTACTTTCATTCATTCTGACACTTGCCATTTATCTTTGCTTTTGAACTGACTACTTCAGGCTGCATTGGGAGTGAACTGCAGCATCCTGGGAAGAAATAATACCACTGTAGCAATAGAAGCCTCCACTGCAGCATCTGTTATTAAATCTTTGCAGAGAGGTGAGTAAACCACTGTCACAGCTGTGGATCAGAGAGGTCCTGCTACATTCATTTCACAGTTCCAGGCACTTTGTATGAAAGCTCTTACTTGCCTTTTATGTCAAAAAATGAATTTATGCCAACTTTTTAATAGTGAATCCTTCAAGGCAATGATCCTTAAAGCCCGCAGTGCTCCAACAAAGAGGAGACGGCAGCAGCCAGCAGGGAGAGACGGAGGAAGCACAGAATGGGAGCGGCCGATGCTGCCGATACGCAACCCGTTCTGCGAGAAGGAAACAGCCGTCATCGCACAGTGCCTCCCTGAGCGGCTCGCAAACTGCCTTTGAAAGCGTCAGACTCTGTGCTGACTCTGACCCGGACACACAGCAGCACGAGGAGCTCCCTCAGGAGCGCTAAGGGACTGCCGCACCCGCACCGCGCAATCAGCCACGCAGCCAGGGTGGCAGGCGGGCAGGAGAAACACAGGACTCGATGTCCTACAGGGAGGACGGCAACTCGCACACCAGCACCAACTACAGAGCAAGTGCTCCAAACCGAGCCGAGTTTAAGCAAACTTCACGCTAAGCTCACAAAGTTCAATCTTAGCTGAACTATAGTAAAAAACTCTCAGGAGTTTTCCAGAAAAGCTCAAATTCCCAAGAAGAAAGTTGGTCTTGAGTCTCCATAACGGTATTTTCCTGCCAGTGAAACTGCACAAACAGCGCAAGGTGCGGTGCCGTGCTTCCCTGTGCTGCATACTGTTAGGATATAACGCTTCCGTGATGGATAAATGAGAAGCCGCAAATCCCTGCGATCATTCGCGAGAGCGCACAACCGCTATGGGCCGGCACATAAGGAAGCGATGACAGCTGACATTGAAAACGATTCAAAAGCAAATCGACGTGAAAGTTTCAGCCTAAAATCGGCAACTAACTCATCGAGGCACGGCACGCGGCTCCAACCGTGAAAAGTTGCCGCTGCCGACGCTCTGCAGCGAGCCCCGCTTTCGGTGCGCGATCCCGAGCCGCGCCTGAGCCTGCGGAGCTCCTCGGGGCGCTCCGGCGCTCGGAGACCCGCGGGAGCGCCCGGCCTTGCTCGGCCCTCAGCGCTGCCCCCCGGCGCGGTGCAGAGTCCCCACGGATTTCTTCTCCATTACCGTTTTGCTCGCCGGCGCTTGAACGCGGCGCGGCGGCGAGGGGAACTCTGCGCGGGGCTGAAGGATGGGACCGAGCCGCGGCAATCGAACATGGGGCTCTCAACCCCTCGCCTCCGCTTTGCCCGAGTCACGCCGCCGGACAGCGCTCCGGGGCCGGGGCAGAGCACTCCTTCGCCTCGCCGCGCAGCGGCCCCGTGCGAGATGCGCGCTCGCCAACTTTGCAAAGTTGTGCGCGAGCGGCGGATGCGCTTTGCCACCCGTCTGCCCCGCGGGAGCCCCGGGCAGCGGGAGCGGCGAGCCCGGAGGGGCGCCGAACGCCGCACAAGTTGCGGCCAGAAGGGGAACCCCCCGACCCTCTCGCTCCGCCCTTTGCACTCACGCTGCTGTTCTCGCCCGTCCAGTGCACCATCGCCTGGTTGTGAGACGCGTCCCCTTTGAGCACGAAGGAGGTGCTGAGGAGCGAGACCCGCTCCCGGCCCGCCGCCGCCGCCGCCGCCGGGGATGCCCTCCGAGAGCGGCCGCCCCC